GTCGCCAAGTGGCAGCCAGCGGTGCGAGTTTCAGTTTTTTGCCTTTGCTCGTTGTCTTTGTCTTTGTCTCCCCGCATTGGCATTGCCTGCACTTGGCGCGACTTATTGGCATTTGCGTTTGCCCTTCGTTCGATTTGGGCTGTGAGCATGTGCGAGTGTGTGTCTGTGTGTGTGTGTGTGTGTGTGTGCCAGGTCATCTTATTTTATTTGTTTGTTGTTGATATTTGTTGATTGTCGGTGGGTATTTCCACGAGGGATTTCTGGCAGCTTAAAAATAGACTGATGCTCTGAAGAATGCACTTGAGCCGGCGTTGTTGCCACTTGTTGCACTCAAGTGCCATCGGACCGAAAATTGTTGTCTATCATTGCCACAGCGTTGCTTCGCCGTCGCTTCTACTCTGTTGCCATTGTTGTTTGCGAGGGAGCCAGGCGATGCTTTGGAGGCCCCGTCATTGAGATGCGACCCTACAAGTCGATTAGTTGGTCAATGCCTCCGTAGCCAACTTCAGTTCAAAGATGCCAAAACGAACTCTACTACTCAAAAAGTGGCCCAGTCTGTTGTCTGCCGTCTGCCGACTGCTGTTTCAGCTAATAGAATCCAAAGAGGCCTTATCAAGGACTTATTCGCTCAAGGTATGGGATCCGCAGATATACTTCAACAAACTGCGCTGCCTTAATTGCTTGTCAAACAATTTTCAACAAATTATTTAAATAAGTTTTCTGTTTCCTTTTTTTTTTTCAAATATTTCTTAAAAATTTTAATATAAATAAAAAAAAAAAAATTTTCTAAAACTAAAAATTGTATTTAAAATTTTTTATTAATTTACTTTTCTAATATTAAGCAAAAAGTATTAATCATACATTATTTTTATTTTGACTAATATATTTATTTATTTGTCATATTATTTTTTATATATATGAATTTTGTATACAATATTATTTTATAATTTTAATAATTGTGTTTAATTATTTGTGTTGTAAATTTAATATTATTTTGTATAATTTATAGAAAATTTTTTATTAATTTATATTTTATTATTTAATACATTTAATAATTATTTACAATATTATATTTATAGTTTATAATCTTCCAACTATTTATATTTTTCATGTAGTCTATTTTTAGCTTTTGCAATTTCCATTAAATATCGCCTCAAAAAATATTTAATTTTTAATAATTTCACTTTTACCACAAACAGCAAAGAAATAAGAGTTAAAAATAAGCAAAGCCGTGGCAAAGTGTGTTACACATTTAAATGCTTCAACCTACATTAAACAAATTATGACAATTTGTAAATGAGTGTCATGAACGCCTTCAGCGCAGCCATCGCAGCCACTCGACACGCAGGAGGCACAACTTGAGCCGACGCCGATGCAAAACGAAACCAAAATATTTGTTGACAAACCGTTCGAGCAAATTACTTAATGGCTTAGCCAGATAATGGCGATAATGATGATTGAAGCTGATAATGATGGCACAGGTAGCAGCTCAGCGGGAAGCTGCCCAGCTGTCTGTGTGTGTGAGCTTGTGTGTGTGAGTATCTGTGTTTGCAGCCCAGTTTAAATGTATTTAAGTATTCCATTTGATGCCCATTAAGTTGAGCATGGGCTATTTATTGCTTTATTTTGTTGCTTCCTTCTGCAAAAAAGAAGGCC